TGGGACATTTCATCACCAGGCACACAAATATCACCGGCAAATGTTTTAGCTTGTACAGAGAATTAAGAGGGCACAAAGCTGCAACTGCTTTTTCTCTGCCACGACTGGAAGGTTTATGAGCTTTGCTGTGAACAAGGGGCCTTACTGACACACTCCTAAGAAGAGGTTACTGAAACTGGTCAATATTTTTCACATGACAACCTTTTAGACCTGAAAAATGGCCTTTTCAGGAGAAGAATTTTATGCAGGAATTTGAGACTCTTTTCCTGTGGGAACCGTGCTTACGCAATCCTGCTGCCTGTGGTCTGGTTGCCCCTCGCTCTCCAGTCCCCAAAAACCTTTGAACCTGTCCCCCAAAACTGTCACCAAATTTTAAAGACGGCTTTTAAAGAGTTCCTACCAATCTGAACAAAACTGCTGGGGGAAGAGGAATGAGACTGTGGCCCCGGGGGTGAGAAAAGCAGCTGCACAGACTCCTGTTTTGTACCAGGGGGTCCATGTGAGAGAGATCTTACCAATGCTCCAACATCAGGAAACTCCTCCTGAGGGGCTCACAGTGAACACGGGTACAAACCCGTGGGATGTCACGCTGTGTGAATTTCAGAGCTCACTGGTTTGCTTATCTTCTTAAATTTGCCAACAACCAAACAGAACATGTGAGCAAACACACCTTATACCCCAACACCCTTATTGTGCACACACTTTTCTAACAAAATCATAAATGCCACAGACTAAATCCTTAAAATTCATCTCCTGCAATCAAGTATTCACATGCAAATTCCTTCCCTCTTTGAAAATGCAGGTAGCATATCAGTTTTTCCTGGGTTCTGCTTGAATTTAGGTTGGATTTATGAGACTTTGGGCTAGTGCTGGTTTATCACTATTCTAAATTAAGCCTTAGGCTGAGCCTGACGTATGCAGAGGAGGGTGCTGGAGGATAAATTGCCATGTTGAATACAGCCTGTTGATCAAGATCACACATAACCTGTAATTGGGAGGCAAAGAGCCAGGCAAAGCTGTTCCACTAAATTGTCACGGGTGGTGAACCAGCAGAACCTTCCGTCACCCTGCTCTGGCACCCCGCTGCACGAATACCCACCTCTGCGTATCAGCACATACTAAAAGCACCACATATGCTCCTACGTGCCTGTTCAGGCCCATGTAATTTCACACATCAACACATCACGATTCCGTCTCTTTGGAAACTACCAGCACTATCCTGCTTGGGTTCAAATCCTGCACGGCACTTAGGCTCATGTACCAAACACACGAGTTCTGCAGACCCCAACACACTTCAAAGTAAGCATGGACTTTACAAATGTGTAGGATTGAGGCCAGAATGCTCACAACCGTACGGGACACAGCTCTTGGGCCTCCGAAATGTTGTATGTGAATATACTTTCCATTTCCCTATGGAAACCTACTCAAACGACACCATTCTGAAGGCGAGCAATTTAAAATCTCCATGGATTTGGGCAGATAAAGTGGTCTCAGATTCTACTCCCCTGTCTCCACTACCTACAGTCGGTCAGTCATTGCTCCAGTCATGGAAAATGAAGCAGACCATCTCTCCAGCGCAGCGCTGGGAGTGGGACACAAATCTTTCCATTCAGCAACGAGAGCAACCTCGTTTCATTTCCCAGAAAATTGTTCTCTAGCCAACAAATACTGGTGATTTTCATTAGAGCAATTTATTTCTCAAAGGCAGCTGAAGACAATTTGTACCAATGACGCTAAATACCATACTTTTGAGTGTTTACGAGGCTGAGAAGCAAAGAGGCTCAGGCACGAAGTGTCCTTTGAAGACGACAAGGTTTCTACCTGTCTGATCTGAGAACAAAACACACACGCTTTGCGCACCAGCTGCATGAGTTTACAGTATCTGTTTCTGCTGTGAAAGCAGTTTAACTCCCCTAAAGCAGTGCTACAGGTTCTGCCGTGTGCAGAGCTGGCACTGCAGAGAGAAGTGAGAGGGCAGAAAATAGAAGGGAAAAAGGGAGTAAAGCCTGCAGCTGCAACCAGCCAAGGCGGTTCCGTCTCCAGAGCCACGGCACGAAAGCCAGTCCTGTGGCAGCAGGGCCATGGGTCAAGCGGTGCCCTGCGCTGCCGGGTGACACTGTCCCTGCTGTGGCTCCAGAGCATGCCCTGCTGTGTCCCTAACAAGCTCGGGAGAGGGTAGGGCCGCATACTGCATCTGCAACATCTGCCTGGGTGGCAGCTGGACCTTTTTCTTTGCCGTGTTTGTTCCTTTTTTACAGTATGTGGATGGAATATGTTGTAAAAAGCCTAGTGTAAGCATATGCAAAGAGCATCCTCCCTGGAATTTGCACAAGCGAGTTATTTGCACTAGCAATTAGAGAATGTGCAAGAAAAATGAGAGGAGGATTGAAGAAATAGGTTTTTTTCTCTCTCTCTGACGTGTAGTGTACTATTTCATCACCTCCTCCTGCTTTCCAATCCTCAAGGGAAGGTGGCTAGCAAAATTTGTTTTTCTGGTTTTTAGAAAGAAGAAATATTTATGGGATTGGTAGATTCAAGATGCATTAACATAAAGAAAAAAGATTCATCTTTTGAGAAGCTAAGGGGACAAGAAAATACTTATAAAATATAATTATTTTGATCGTGAAATTCCTTTTCCAAAAGAATATCATCACCTTGAAGCGAGCCCATTAAAAAGCCTTAAAAGGAAGCCTGGAAAATCTGGTTGCCTAACAGACCGGGCTGAGGATTTCCAAGTCCAGTTTTACGTTCATCGTGGGTTTCCTCTGTGATATTGGACAAGACGCTTCACCCTGCTCCCCCAATTCCTTGTCTGTCAGCCTGTCATGTTCACATGCCTCTTACCCTGTCGTCTCACAAAGAACATTAGGAGCGTGCATCAGGAGGTTGAAGTGGGTCGGTTTGTCCGAGAAGATTATCCAGACACCAAAGGAAGGCAGAGGAAATGTGTGCGTTGTAGGAAGCAGTGGAAGAGGAGTAGATGGGATTTCAACATTTCCATGCTAGTTCTTAATTTTTATTTGGCTATCCCAGGGGTGTGTTTAGTCCTTTATTGACACATGATGAAAGTACCACGGCAAGTTAAAAACGCCTAGCTGACAGAAATCAAACGCAAACTTCTGTCAGCTGCACTAAAGAAACACACTCGAGGGCAGTAAAAATGGAGGGGGAGGAACACTTTTTTCCCACAAATTTCTTTCTGCCTGAGTGACTCTAGGCCCAACTTGCAAAGATAAAGGGTATAAAAAATTCAGAGTGCAATCTTTACAGGGAGCATTTCTCTTTAATAAAATGAAAAAAAAATCGCAGCTTTCTTCCCTTTATTTTTAGGAACCACCTGGCCTGAGACAGAAAGAGCAGAGCCTTGGATGTGCGTGTGTGTTTAGGAGGGAGATTGTGGAGGAACACGTGCATGTGTGTCTGCCTTATTCAAACAGGAGCAAGCCTAGCTTTTCTTAACTTCAAATAGATGACTGTTAGCATCAAAATAGTCAGAGAAAAGCCTGATTGGCTTTGTCTCTGTAACGTTTTATCAACTAATGCCCGTCTCATAAAAAGGGAACAGCACGCCGGGGAACAGCAGCTCAAGTGGGCAGTCACAGGGTGGACAAAAGAAGCTGCTGTCAAAAGCAGCACTGGTATTGTGGTCCAGGGTGCAGACAGATGTTGGAGATGAAATGCAGCGTGGTGCTACGAGCAGGAAGTGCTGGCTCTGAGGGCGGTGCTGGTCCACGAAGCAGCCGGACACACCACGCAGAAGCTTGTTAAGGGTGTGATCCCAGTTTGCTGTAGCCCTTCAGTGAAATGGGTGTGTGTGTGTGTGTCTCTCTCTCCAGCTGCTTAAATAAAAGACTTTCTGCCTTTCCCCACTATTCTTTGAAACACAGACTTGTGGCTTATCACTGAAGCCATGTTCTCCCCAAAAGCACAGAGATGCTCATACCCGGGGCAAGGAAACTGTCTGGGCACGAGAGCAGACTGCTCCCAGGTGGGTTATCTCATACGGCAGACAGGAGATTTCCCACTTTTCCTGGAAGCTTTTCGAATGGAGGAGCTAAACAAAGTTCAGTGAAGGAAACCAATGTTCCTGCAGTTGCACAAAGGGAAAGGAAGACCAAACTCAAGGCTCCTAGTCCTACACAGTAAGTGATAGAGCACAGGACCAGATTTTTGGTCTTCAACACCCTATTTGGCCTTTAAAAATTCAACTGCCTGACTGTGACTTACTGTCTTATGTAGGTAAGGGATGTGAATCACACCAAATCTCACTTTTACCATGACTGAGAATCCAGTTTTTCATTAAAAATAAGAAAAAGGAATAGGACTGCAGATGCAGAGAAAAACCTGAAAAACCTGACTGAAGGATATGCAAACAACTCAAAAGCCTCAAGTGTGTTATTAACGTTTAAATTTCAAGGTTTCTAAGCTCTAGCTACATGATCAGAATTTTCAGTAGGTGAAAAATTTGGGGTTATTTGAAAAAGAAAATCAAAATGTTCCTAAATGAAAGTGTCAAGAAGATACACTTGGTCTTCCTTGCTGGCTGAAACTAGCTGACAGGTTCAGGAACCATTTTGGAAGACCCTGAGTGGCCTTTATTGAGTAATGGAATTTACTGTGAGAAAATTTTATCCCTTCCACTATCAACTCACTCAGAGAGAAACAGTGTCTCAGTCCTTGCTATGTACCTGAGATTTCACACTGTTTCACATCAAAACCAGAAAGCAAGCCACCAGTTCATCAGCTCAGTAATACACAAGTGTGCAAATGATAGATACACATTTTGTGCCACATTGTGGGCTGGACAAGCGGAGACGTGATGATTTTCAGCACGGATGGGGAGGCAAATTGTGAATTATTCTACTCTTAACAAGCGGTGCATGCAGAGCAGATCAGAACATTTTCATGCCAAGGATATTATTCAGAAGGTATAGTTTTAACCCAATCAAAACCATTGGGAGACCAGTGGAAGCCAAGACATTTATAAGCAAAAGACTGACCTTCTTTGGTGGCAAGACGTGAGGAAGCTTCTGTGTGGGATGGAGTATTGTAGACCAGCAGTGAGCTACCTAGAATGAAAACAAAAGGGTTATTGCAGTTTGAAGGTGCTCTGCCAGTGGGGAACCATGCAGGCAGGTAGAAAATGCTATCACTAGGATTAATGACTGACTTTTTCAGACAATTAGGCACACATTTTCTATGATGGGTATGAAATTCTTTTAAAAGCTTGGTAGCTGTATGTTACACGTGCTACTCTTTCTCCACATTTGCCTCCTTCACTGAGCACCGTGATGTCCTCCATTGAAAACTGAAACAAAGGGTGAGGCTGTATAGTACATTTATACAGGTACAGTATCTATCATAGCAGAAGCTCTAGAAATTACTATGGAACAGATGGTATGACAGGATAAGGAAGAAGCTTTTCCCTCTCTAGCTGTGATAGAGAAATTTCCTGTTTGAGAAACATACAATAGGAGTGACACGAATTGCACCATCAGGATCTGAACATTTTTAGAGTGTCACATGCTTGGTTTGGGGCCAACAGCTGCAGAAATCTCACTGCTATTCCAGCATCTCCCATGCTTTGTGGAATTTGAAAGTAGCTTTCTTGGTTCAGAGCGGCCTCTCTATCCAGCCCCACTTGAAATTATTCAAGAGGAGCACAAAGAAGAACCCACTGGAAGGGTCTTTGTTTTGCGGAGTCTATGGTGGAAATGTTCCTTTCTAAGCATTTCACATTGGTTCTCCAGCAAACTCTTCTGGAAGTGGAGGAAGAGGCCCTGTGAGCTCTTGGAAGCCAGCATGTAATACGCACTTCATGGTTGTCTGGTTATATGTGTTTACCCTACACAATCCTCAAGGCTCACCTTTCCTACAGCTCTTTTGCAAAGATTCTGCTGGATCAGGCGGTGACATTCCTAACAAGGCAGAGGGCCCTTCCTGGTAGGGACTGATGATGTGAACTGGAGCAGGGGACCAACATTGTCGTGGGTGGGTACGGGTGAGAAGTGCTTTTGCAGACACTTTCTGCTATTCGCATCTACACGGCCCTCTGTTCTGTGAGATTCTGTCCCACCTAAGGAACTCGGTCCTAAGGAACACACAACAAACAGAGTAGATTTCTCTATACGCGATGCTGCGCCTCAGCATCCCCAGATGCTTTGGCAGGGCAAAGAATACCGCTTTTGCAGGGACTATAATACTGAGTGATTAGGATCATGCAGTCTCCACATTCCTCTAATCCACATGATCCCAAATAACACTGACCTCACTTGCCCCTCAGTAGTATTCACAGTGTGTCTCCCTTTCCTGTCAGAGCTAAGGATTAGGCACTTCACTGCCAGAAGTAATCGCCATTGCAGGTGCTGGATCTTATTGGCCCTGTGTTCCTACAGATTTCTTTTCTGCCCCAAATGCAAACAAAGCCAAAAACATGCACAAGCCAGCGTGTACACAGAGGCAGAAGGTGTTGGAAAACAAAGCCTGCTCACACGGAGTGGAGGATGGATGCTACCAGATGCTGCAAGACGGGACATTTCAAAAGACCAGGATGGATAACACGGTAAACCAGGAGGTAAAGAGTTCAAAGGGATCCCACCGGTACCTTGACTGTGAAAGCTGCAGATAGCCAAAGTGATTGGCTTAAATATTTAGAGAGATTGGCTTTTGCTGCTGCTGGAGGAATTGCAACAGCTATTTTCACCTCACTCATGTTTTTATCGGATGGTTTCTGGCTTTGGCATTTCGTTCTTGAATATCTGTGGGGAAACACCTATCCACCACTCTTGCCTTTTCAGGTTATTTGAAGTAGAACCTGAATGCAGCGCCCAGCCTAGCTTGCCCCCGCCAGACAGGGCAGTGCTGGGGAATTCAGAAACACAATTTTCTATGACTAAATAGGCTGCAAATGCCTGGTCGCGCTGACTGGCTGAGGAGGTGGGGGTGGGGTGATGAATAGCGCTGAACTACATGATCAACCTATAGCTACTTTACGCTAAAAAAATGCAGCCCAAGCTGCTGGGAAGGGACGGCGCCTCCCCCCAGTTTAATTGCAAAAAGTTCTCACCTTTGCCCGACAGTCTGAGGTTTCTGGTGGGAACACCACAGAAAAGGAAATGTGTTTCCTATTAAAGGTTTCAATGAAGAAGGAAAAGAGAGAAAGCCAGAGACACAGATCGGGACAGAGAGAAGCAGACAGACAGACAGAGGCCAGGCTGCTCCCTCCCTTACTCGTTCTTGGGCAAAACTTTGTCTGCGATGAATTTTTGTTTTGTCCTTATTCCCCGTACCCCTCACTGGGTCAACAACACCGCAGATTAAATCAGCTCTTTCTGGGAACACTGGCATTACTAATAAAGCACGGGGCTATTCTCCTATAATTAATATTAAACATGTTATCTTATGGTTCCCTCCACCTTTTCCTTTCTTCTTCTATTTCCCTTGCATTAATTAAAGAGGAAGATGGAAAAGGACTGAGAGCAGGAGAGATTTTTTCCCCATAAAACCTTCCTTTTCACAAGGCAGCTCATCCTTTTGAGATGCCGGAACATCCTGGTTTCACAGAGCTGAAGTCTTTTAATTTAGTCTGGATGACTTTTTTATCACCTTCTGGAAGCCATGTGGCCTTGCCTCCACATCCCCTGGTAGAATCAGGGTTCTGCTGCATTTAGCAGTAGAGTTTTGTTTGGCATTAATATATGGCTCGAAACCACAAAGCAGTTTTCTGCTTCTGCTTCTCACCACAGCCTCATTCTTTCCCCTTCAGGCTCTGTTCGTTTGCACACACCACACACAACCGACCCCCCGTAACTAGGGAGGAAAAGGACAGGAGGTGACAGTTCAGGCTTCCTTTGATGTTCCTCCCAAACATAGCATGAAAACATTCACATCTCCCTTCCCACTGCCCACTGGCTGACTGGGGGACATTCACCAGGCAGACTGTGCTTGGAAAAAGATACCAGCACAGCAGTGGGTCAGTCTGGAGTCCGAAGGTGCAGGGGGAGGAACGAGAAGAAGAAAAGCCAAGGCATGTCTTCAGAAATTTGGAGAGGAAACTGGAAGAAACACTTAAAGAAAGGTGATTGTTTCAGAGGGATGGACAGTATGTTCCCTGAAAAAACTACTGGGGGGTGTTTTGAGTGACTTTAAAGGATTGAGTGTGCTGCAGCACTGGGTTCTGCAAGTCTGCAATCTCCTAAAGATCAGAGATGTGTGAATTCCTGACTGCCTCAATAGGTTACGGAAACAGGAAACAACTGCACGATTCTGATCCAGGCCTAAGTTTTGCCTGAAGACCAAAGGGGCTGTGATACGAGTTTGGTTTAGTCTCGACTATGAGACCTCACCTGAACCTTCTACCTCCAAAATGAAGACTGAGCTTTTGTTGAGGTCTTGCAGATGTTATCACTTTGCTTTTTTCAGTCTGGACTCAGATGTGCCATAATAATGTACTTCATAGGCAGTTTTAAGAATGCTTTCACCCTGATCAGGAGTGTAGAATGCTGAAAACCTTCTGAGGAAAGTGTTTTTCAGGGGTTCTCCTTGCCCGGCTAGCAAACAGGCTCAGACAGTTCAGAAGAGTTTTGTTTCTTGAACAAAATTGAGGATCCACTAGTCATCACATATCCAGCTCAGCATGCTGAGTAGACAAACACCTTTCAAAAGAGAGACTGGGCAGATGTAATTCCCCGAAGTTCTCCTGTGTTTTGGTGCCATCAGGTATTCTGCCCCCTAAGCAGGAACAGAGCTGGATGTCTCCGAAACAACCAACTCTACAGAAGGGGAAAATTCATGAAAAAAAAGGCCATCTCCCCATGGCACTGAGCTCAGAGGCTCGGCACTAAACATCCGCTGGAAATCAGTCTGGAAAAACAATAAGCTCCTTTCGAAGGCGTTACTCCGCGAGGGAGTTAACCAGCAATCCAGAAACCAGACTGTCATTAGCCAGCGCTGGGAACAGCTGCACGGAAAGGAATGCTCTTCAGAGGCGGCCCGGCCTCCACTCAGACAGGAGCTTGCTTTAATAAGGACAGCACTCGCATGACGTCTTACAACAGCCCAAGGGGCTGAAGAGAGAGAAATTCATAATCATAAAAGCTGGGGATGGACTGGGATTGAATTCGCCTTTCGTATGCATCCATGTAAAAATGGAATAACTAATTTGTCTGAATCCAGCAAAGTTCCTCGGGTTTTGCACTAGCTTAGTAGCACAGAAATCACTGTAGGCATTCCCCTGGCAGAACATTATAATTTATGATTATTTTTCAGCATGCAGTGCAGCAGCACTTTGTTGCAACTGCGCTAGGACTTCATTACGCTGGCTCTTGAGAGACGTGAGACACGGTCCCTGATCCACAGATGGGCCATCTCCGCAGACAAGACCAACAGGAGGACACAGAAGGCATTATTATTAGCTCCATTTCACGGTAAGGAAAACTAAAGCTCAGAGGAATGAGGCAAAGGTTTAATCCTCCTAATTTCAGGCATTTAAAGGCAATGTGTGAACTGGGAGACAACTATCCTGAATTTCAACGTGCCCTGTTTCTTTTCTATAAATGGAAGCCAGTGTGACCAGGCTTTTCATTTAGGAGCTTCAGGTATCCAAATGTAGGTAGGATCAATCAGAATCTGCTCCTGAATAAATTATAAAGGTGGAAAGGTCTTCAGGTTTACGCCAGGAGAGCAAGGCTGCGATTTCTCTGATACTCCCTTTGCACTCCCTGGGCCATGAGATCCCTAACACCGGAGACTATCACTGAAGATGCTGTCTGGAGCTAAAGCAACAGAAGAATCCAATTCTCCTGCCAACCTTTTCAACTCCAGCCTGGTCTTTTGATTCAAAAAACACACGACTCCTTCTTCATCTCTTTCTGTCAATTCTCAAGTCTTATCAATGAGACAATTCAAAAGTAAAGTGTCTCACTTGAGTATTTATCTTGTGGGAATTTAAAAACATTTCCGGTTACAAAGCGTCTGATTTGCCCAGCCAAAGTCAGCAGGTTTGGCCAAAGCAACACTGGCTTCACAAAACTGCCTTACGATTTCCCGTAAAAGTACATAATTCTGTATGCAAACCTTAGCTCCAAAGCTATTCTATGTCTGCAATAAGCCTGAGACGTTCTGTGAACCAGCAGCTCTTTGCTGATGAAACAGGCTGAAATTTGAAAATTATTTTGGATGGGAAATTATTTTATTGTGAAGTCACAAGGGACAAAAATCTGTTCAAATCCAACCATTCGGTTATTTGTTGTGAATCATTTCCTTGGCTTGACTTCTCAAACAAAATAAAGGTGGGGCTTACAGAGGCACCCATCTGCGACCTAACTCCTGTCCCACTGTCATCTGTGAAACTCCCACTGATTTTAGCAGAGGCAGGGAGAGACCAGTGCAGAACAGCTCTCAAGAAACACCTTAAATAAATGCTGTCTCGCTGCTATATTGCACCAGCCAGATGAAGATAACTTCTTTACCTCACAATTTCACTTGCCAGTGGAGCAAATAAACTTTTTCCTGCCCTCCCACCTTGCTTTATGGCACCATCCCCTGATTTTGCAGTCCTTAAATAATTATACACCTATAAAAACTGTTTTACTTGAAAAAAAATATTGAAGCATATGGGATTTAGTTCCAGTTCTCCAGCCTCCTCATAACACAGTTGCCCGTAGCACACCTTTGTGAAGAAACCTCCATGTTATAGATGAAGAGGAGACATTTGGAAGCTCTGGGCACGCTCATGCTTGCACAGGAAGCTTTAGAAAGGGCTGAATCGAAGGCTCCCAGCCTCAAGAGCGTGTGCTAACCATAAGGTGATCATTCCTGTTAGGGCTGCTGTGGTATGTTTTTCCAGAAGTACCTTGGAAGACTGCTCACAGCTTCTGTCTTAGGGGTTTGCTACAGCAAAAAGGAGTATTGGATCCAGCACACGCTCTGGTGTGGGACAGCGAGTAGCTACAAAGAGGTTCAGCAAAACTTGGTCTTTGAGTCCTGGGTTGTTTGCACGACATTTGCTTCTGCATGCTTACATTAGGGGAAACACTTGTGTATTTTTTCCTCTTTCCAGCAAATCTGGGCCTCCAGGAACATAGAAAATCTCCAACTCTGGCCAGCTGTGTGTCCTGTTTTGAAGCAGTCTTTACCAGAAACCCCAGGGGAAAGTGCCCAGCCCTCTAACTGAAAAGTTATGGAATGATTTGCCCATGCCACATCAGTTAATGTTTGGCTTAATCTCCACAGCAAATTTATGTATTTTTATCATATAGCCACAGATGTTTTTATTATCTGTAGGACTATCTAATCTTCTTAAGAGTCCTCCTCAGTTTTTTATGTCCCTGATAGCATCAGTAACTCCATCTAACCTAACTTTCCAACCCACTTTTTATTCCTTATGTGCTCTCTGCTTGCCTTTCTGTGTTACTTTTCCCTCATCCTTGCTACTATTAATCCTTCAAGAAGAACCCTAGAAGTTCAATATTCATGGCAGCTTATCCTATCAGCATGTCACGCTCAGGCTGGGATGAATCGGGACAATACTTACTTTCCCTGAGGTAACTGAGGTGAGACAACAGAACTTCTGTGTTGTAGAGGGAGGTGGTTCGGAGGAAGTCTTCCTTGTTCATTTTGCAGAGCTCCTTGCCATCCATGTTCTGGAAGACGGTGGTGTCAATCTCCATTAATCCATACTCCTTTATAGCCCATTCCAGCCACTGGCGCACGTGATCCTGGGTCCAGAGCGTGGGATCTGACAGAAAAGCACAAAGGATGGTAACACTGCACCTAAGCCTCACACCTCTAGCGCTCACTGTAGCCCAGTCAAAGCATTAACCATTGTTTCCCACCATCAAATGGATTTAATTTACTGATTCCAATGCAGTTTGCCAAGATGAACAAGTACTGTGTGTATAAATTGATCGCACCGACCCACTAAGAGTCAGTTCCCTTGATCGTCTCCCACCTGCCTGAATCTTACGCTTGGGAACAATATTAGTGGCATTTGTGAGTTTTCTCCCTCTGGAAAAAGGCTTCCAAAAGCAAACTCATCCCTTTGAAAGGGTATGCTTGTCACAGCTTCGGTTCTGCAATGCTATATAATGACATCAGTGCTGTATAAGTCACACCATCCTTCACAAGTGCATTACAAAGTCCCAACAGATGGCATTTTAAAGTCTGAGGATGGTGGCATTTACGGTCAGCAAAGGGACCCTGAAAAAAATATTATTGCTTAAGCAGAACAGCTTGCCATATATCTGAGTCACATTTGTTCACCCTGCTGACAGAACACAATTCTACCTCCGCTAGCCCTGTAAAACCAACACAGCTATTGGAGGGCAATGTGGATTTTATACTGTCTCATGCATCATTATCGACTGTCAGCAAAGCTCCAGCTGCGGAATCTTTATTACTGGTGATGACGTAAGGGAGAGATTGAACCCGGCTGGAGTTTCAGACCCCATGGTGATGGTTTGCTGCATCAGTAGTTAAAAAAAGAAATCATCCTTTGAGTTGCAAAAAGAGCATTAGATCAGAAAGTCCCAGCAAGAATTTGTGCCACGATACCATTTTTACAGAGTCATTTTCAGAGTATATCTGCATTTTCAGATGTTTCCTGTACTGCTTCTCCCCACATATCCCATTTCAAAATTCAGGCTGCAAATTCATGTTCCATTGCAGCTGGAGAGGATTGTAAAGTCAGGCTTAAACTTTGGAGGTGTTTGATCTGTCCATCACAGCTGGTAACATTTCTCGAAGATAAACCTCAGGTCTCAAAGCAGTTGAGAAAATGGGTCAGAAACATGTTGCCATCATATAGCTGGTAGCTTGTGCTTTGGGGAGGGACAAGAAATGCCTCTGCCACACATTTTATAGTGTGTAAAACAACGCCTTGGCCCAGGACGGTAAACTCCGTGGGCTTGGGCTGCAGGGATCCCTTGGCACAAAATGTCAGGTAGTGGCTATACCTGGTGCATTCCTGGGCACCTGAGCTGCAGAATAACAGCATGAGATGAAGAAGTAATATTTAAATGGTAACTGTGACATTTCCTGAGTGAATTTCTAGTAAACCTGAGTTAAACCTGAATTCTAAATATGGAACTTACAACCCCATAACTTTGCAAATCTGCATTGGGAAAGAAAGATGGATTTCCTCTATGTTTTGGCAATGTCTAATTTAAATTCTGCTTTCTAAGCACTGGCAAAAGACTGCAAATTTTACAATGCAAGTATTCAAGGGAGGATTCTTTTTTTTTTTTTTAATTGAAAGAGTTATTTGTCTTGAGTTTTGAAAAAAAAACACCCAGCATTTAGAGGACACAGTGAATTTGTGGTCTCCTTTTAAACAAACACTATTGAATTTCAGATATTTGTTCAGCCTATTTGTCACTACAAAAGACATTGAGTGGTCTCTGAAAAACTGCCTTCTTGAAACATGGCTTAGAGTTCGTTATTATTACTATTGCAAGCCTAATGTGACATTATTCTTGCCTATCTTCACCCTAATGCGCTATAAATCTTTACTCTGGATTATATTAAAATTTCCAAATGCCTTTCTTGGATGAATTGGGCCTCATATCCTGCAGCCAGAGATCTGGGATGATGTTCATTATTGTCTTCCAAAGTCTGGTAAATCACTGCTATTTCACAAGTATCTCAAGGTTTTAATTTGTGGATGCTCACGAGGGGGGAAAAGGTCCTTTTTTTCGTTTTCTTTCAAAGAGAGGATTTTAAACCTCCTCCTCCACTGAGGGCACTAAAAGTCATTCGACAGCGCTAAACCTTAGCCCACCCTCGGTCTTTTTAAATATGCATAACTAGCATGGTGAAGAGCAGGATAAATCTTCCCTCTTGAGTCTCTTTAATAGTATAATGGCTAGTTGGTATCAGCTAACACCTTTCTAGGCAACTTTAATGCTGAAAACATACCTGGTGCTGTCACCAATTAGGTCAGCCAGCCTCTCTAAGCAGATCCTAACAACGGCTTAAATGGTACTTTGAGATTTGCTGTCAGTCTTTTATTGGCTTCCCTTCACTACATCCAGCTCAAGCTTTTCCTTTTCATCCTAAATGGCAAACAAATGCTTGGGAATTATCATCTGTTCATGGTCAAGCCACGATCAGAAAACACAGCTAAATTCCACGAGTACATTTCTTTCTGCCAACAGTTTGTCTGCTTGAATCAGATGAATCGGTGAAACCCTCACTACACTGGGTGAAAAGCTGCACCCCTTGAAATCAGTGGAAGTTTTGGTATGTAAGTTGGGCCGGGACTTGGCTTGTGATATCTCCCTTGCTGGAAAGTTCCTGGGCTAGCCTGTTTCTATCTATGGTGTTCATAAACTTTGCAGAGGAAAAACTCCCTCTCGTTCCAGGTTCAGACTTCACTGGTTGCCGGCCACAGTGGCTCTCATCCTTGACTATCCAAATGGATCTAATGCATCCTGCCAATTTCAGGCAGCAGATGTGGATATCAAACACAAACAGAGAACTGGACAGCACTGTTTCTGTGTACCAGTTTTTTTGAAGGATAACATAGTTCCTGCAAAATATAATTTTCATGGTTTTCTACTTCTAACAAAAAAATGAAAACAAAATATCTCATTGTGAAGCAATCTGACATGAAAGTGCATCTGGATCCTGCAGAGCATCATGGGAGTTATAATTTGGGTCCAATTCATGCTTATTCTTGCCTATGAACTGCGTTCTTTAATCATACCATGTGTGTCCCCAGGAAGCAGATTCTCCTCTAACACATGACGGGAGATGGATTTGGTTCAACACACCAAAACAACACGTCATTTCCATTAAAAAAAAAAAAAAAAAAACAAAACCAAAAAACCAGTGATCCATTTCTTCTTCTGATTCAAGGTAGAACATATACTGGGACATGGGAAATTTCCACTAGCCAGAAACTCTGATATTTTCCTTACTTTTTACATGGTTTGTAAGAAAGATCATTCCTCAATGGATAAATGAGCCTTATCTGTTGAGCTGGATGTGTAAGACAGAGCAAGGAAATACAACACAGAGAGTTGGATAGCGGTGGTACCTGCTGGGACAATGACTCTCCTCTCATTGGTGGTCATGTTGGGAGGAGGCCCATTCTTCTCATCCATGTAGGTGTTGTAACTCATGGGGTTGGACTCTGTCCCGGCGCCGACGAGTTTGCTGCATTTGTTCACACTACAGTCTACAGGGGACTCCCTGAAATGTGAAAGGGAAGAGGTGACTTGTCATTATTATGCACCTTTCATCCTTGCTGTAGCAGAAGGAGGTTTGGGTTACGGAGATGGCAAGGATCCCAAAGGTGAAAAGGTAAGGGGAGTGTCTTTACATGCAGGAGACTCCGTTCCTGGCCTGTCACATGAACATCATAAGGTGACCTATGAATCACAAGTCTCACGGACGGGATATCTGATAATGAAACCAGTTGGAGGGAAGAGAGTTGGAGGTGCAAAGAAGAGAAAGGCAACAGTAACTGTAAGGTCACACTCAAATATCAAAACTCGTGAACCAGATAAAAGGCAAGTGCCTAGCCCACCAGTTTATTGGTTACACTCCCTGCCCCCCCTGCATCCTTTGATGCTCAGCTGCATTTTCACAGTCCCCCAGATACAGTTTGAAGGTCCTGGGAGCCCTTGTTGGACTGTGTCACTCTTGCATTGCGTTACACACTCTGGGCACCGTCTGTCTGTTACAGTGGAGCCTGTGTCTCTGTCAGTTGACAGAAAGGCTGTACTTCTCAACTCACAATCCAAGGCAATTTTCCAGGGTCGATCAGAAACATGGGTGCACCCCCCTCCATTTCATTAATAAAGAACACGAAATACCAAAATGACAGGGTAGTCACAGGGGAATACTACAATAATAGCATGGTATCTGAAGAGCCTTATTTACACAGGGCTGAATGTAACTGATCTTGTCTGTTCTTCACAGTTAAACAGTCCCAGGCTTGTCTGCTTCTTGGATAGGGAATCTAGAAATCTTGGGTGCCTTAGGCATGAGTCAAGAACTTCAGACCACAGAGACGGTGTGCGAAAAAGGCTCTGGCCCCAGTTTTACTTCTGAGGTGATGGAGCCATGAGGAGGGAACATTTAGCAACTCAGGTGGCACTGTGCTAAGACCTGGACTGCATGCAGACCCTGGGCAAGCAACAGGCTTTCTCTGTCCTGCTCTGGGAGAATTATGAGCCTCCAAACCACAGATAGGGAGCACAGACTTTTGTTTTTCTCTGGCTGCAGTAGTAACTCATGCTTTTAGCTCTAGAGGCCACTTAAAATACCAGTCCACAGCCTGCCACAGGCACACAGCACACGCCAGCCCTGAAGAACGTACCAGGGAAGGGCAGCACTGTTGCCCTCACCTTTGCAAGGGCATGTTAGTGTGCAACCTCTATGCAAAGCAAGCACAGAGCCCATACCCAGTGCAGTTTAGTCCGCTGCTTGAATCGCACAGCCGTCCTTTTTCCTTGCCAGAAGCAAAGTGGCTTGAGAGGAAACCATTCGCTGAAGGGTAGGAACTATGACAGTGCACCAAATCCCACCCTCTGAGTTCAGCTGGCAAGACTTCCAAGTTTGGACACTAAACAAATTTGTTTCTTAATGTGAATGGGGGGGGAGGGAGAAATTACTGAAATTCAGTTATCATGGCTGGGAGATAAATGCTCCACCGAGATATTCTAAGGCAGATGGTAATTTTTTCCTCATGTCTTGCTGAGGGAATGTTGCTTGAAAATGGAAATAAGATGTATAACTTACACATGTTCGAATTTAAGGTTTTACTATTTTGCCTACTGTTTTTCCAGGCAGGGAACCAAAATCCGCCTTCAGAGAGGCAAACTGCTGAAGGTTTAATGTCCCCGTGGCAGTCGGAGGAGAGTGTGAGCAACTGCAGGGACACCGGGGTTTTCACAGGGAATGTGATCATTTCTAACTTTCTGTTGAAATACTCTGTGTCAGGTGTTAAACGCTGCCTGTACTGGCAGAGAAAAAGCCCTGAAGCAGCACAAAGGATCTTATTCTTCCCCGAGGTACAGGCTGTCCTGAGAAGACTCGGTGAAATGGGGAGAGCATCCGTGCTTCAGGGTGTCAGGGTCTGTCTGGCTTGGTGCTCACGGTCCCCATGAGGTGACCGATCCCCTCGCCCTGCCTGGTGCTGGTTTTAAATGGTGCAGGCAGCAGAGCTGGTGCGACAGACCCAAACACACACATCCCCACATAGTGAGGGCGTATGAATTCCTGCCTGCCTTTGGGATTAATTTCTCCCTTCTTCAGAGTCAATAGTCACATTTTCTTCAAGTTCCCTGCAGTCAGCACCTCCCAGGTGCTGGCACCACTACCTGCTGCCTAAAGTCCTTCTGATGGATTCAGTCTCACCACTCTGCTCTGTAGTTAAACTTCCCTGGAAAATAACACCCTCAGTAGAAATAGGCAGTGTTTGTGACAGAATGGTTACGTATCTAATAGCCATACAGAGCTGCAGGATATACCCAGGCTCTCAGATAAGTACATCTTCTAAAAAGCCTATCGGCCTAGGAGTACACACGCTTTCTACTGGCATGGAATGACACAAATGCACAAACTACAGCGTTCTTCACCGTCTCTACACTCTAAGACCAACACTACAAGGTATCTCCTCCGTAGTTTCATACTGATTTTTCACTTTGCAGCCTCTTGACTTGGCAGCTTGGAGCCTGCTCATCCTCTGCCTCGCTTGGTACATTTCGGCAGCCAAAACCCGACAAGCAAATATTGGAGGGTGAGATCAGAAAAGAAGTTGAAGGGACTGAGGTGTCCTTACCAACCACGGATTTACCAGAGGGAAGCCATCCCGTTGATGCTGCGGGACGTTAAACGTGCTCCGTGTCCCTGACAGGGTCGTGTGTGGGTGGCTGTGTAGATGCCTCCCTTCCCTCTGAGGAAGTTTTCAGGAGGGTTGGATCTAGAGCTAACCCCACTGGGAATCTGACAGCAGAAGGACAGACATTACCAAAACTTAACTGGGCAGGAGACTGAACTGTCCTTAAGAAAAATACCATGAATTTTTAGCAAACAGGAAGACCCTTACTTTTGTAACCCAGCATTTCCTACCAGATCCAAAGGAAGATCCTTCTATTCCCCTTTTACTGGGAAATGAGACGGCACCACCAGACTGAATCATCTCTGCAGCTCCTGGATGCCCATTACTGTACTGCCCCCGGCTGAGATGAGGGATTTAACAGTACCCCAGCAGAAGGTGGGTGTAGCTGGGGGCAGCACAAAGAAGAATTCAGCGTGGGGAACAACTACGGTATCAAATGAGAACAGGGAGCTGCGAGCCATGAAAGGCGTATTCATTGAATATAGCTCCTTCCTTAGCTCAGGCATTACCCACAGGCAGACTTAGATTTATACAAAAATTTCCTCATTATTGGAAATGGTTTGTGTGGGGAATTTCAGATGCCAGATTAATCCTTGACTTTTCACAGAGACTTCAGACTTTCAAGTGGCTATACATGCTGGACTTGCTCAGGTTCTGGGCAGAAAATGTTGTGGATCTCCTAAGGTAAATGGATATAGGCTGCTTTCACAAGATCTCTTAAGTATATTCACTGTGGCAGTGACACAGTCCAAGGAATATGAAGCAGTACTCGTTCCCACTGTCTGTCCAAAGACTCTTCGTTCCAGCAGCTCCAGTAGCAGTCTCTGGGGATGCCAAGAGCTTGGTGTTTTGGGAAAGTTTATGCGAGACTGGCCAAAAAGGACAAGCAGCTAGCCTGGCATTGACTAATAAATCCTCTGTACAGCTTCAGCCTGTGTTCCAGATACCTGAAAATAAAGCAATTACTGTCCCAGGGCCTCTGTCTAGGAATCACCTTTGGCTTTCATTTGAAAGAGCAAAACAAGGGATTTCAATGATTTCTGACCCTGGCTCAGCTGTGGTCAGTGGGATATTTCCTTCTTTCTATCACTTTCTTCCTACCCTTTCATTCCTCTTCCCATCTTTTTTTTTTTTTCTTTTTAATTTTGCCACTTTTTGGTGTAAAACCCCATTTGGTACTCTCAGCTTTAATCTTTACACTTGAAATTAGATTTATGGGGTTTTTTTTGTTCCGTGAAGAAGGTAAGAACAGGCAGACTGCGATTCTGCTTGTGGTTCCCTCTTACAGGCAGGGAACCGAGCCATCAGAGCAGAATCACAGCTCCTCGAAATGTGCATTCACTGCACTTTAACCCTGCCTCTCATCTCCCCTCGGGAATGCCTCCAGAGAAGGTTCACACTGGGAAAGGCTAAATGTGCAGAAAGAAGAGACAGCTGTAAAGAGGATGGAGGAAGACAGGCAGGTTACAAAACTCAGACTGGGTGAGGGATGCACAGAGGGTCAGTAGAACGATGTTTAGGAGGTACAGGTGAGAGCAACCATAGGAATTGCAGTCTGCAGCTCCAGCTGGGGACCAGAGCAACAGAGCGAATCCCACTAGAGGGCTCACACGCTGCTCAAAGGGGATTTTTCTTCTTCTAGACATCATAGATGGTCCCTTTGTTTTGTTTTGAGAAAATTACTGTGGCATAAAAATGTTCTGAGGGCCCTGAACCTTAGCATGATTTTCATATTCTGAAGCAAGAGAATGTCTCCAAAGCATTTTCAAAGCACTGACTTCATTAATTGAGCCAGGCAAAACTCGTAACATCAGCTGGAACGGCACGGCACAGTTTGCCTGCATCTGTGCGCACACCCAGCCCACTAGAATATTCTTTCACATTTTAAGATCATAGAGGTTTTTCTAACGTCTTTTTAAAAATCACTCGCTGAGTTCAGCTGCAAATGCAAATCCGTAGTAGCTCAGTAAACACTGTCAAAATTTGGAATGTCTGTTGTTCTCCCTTTGCGTTTGGAATGGATGTAAAATATAACGAAAAATCTATTACTAAAATGGGCTGTAAATTGGGTTGAACTTCTAAATAGTCCTCCTGCTTTATTCACTGGAATTTAAAATGTGATTTTTAAATTTGATGATTGTATTTATATCACAAAAGCATCTAAAAGTCCCAAAAGAAATCCAGGCCTAGTTTGTTGGGAACTGTACACACACATTTGTAGGAGACAGAACTTTCCCCAAATGGGCTATAAACAAGATAAACAAAAGACACAAACGTAGCAAAGGACAAAGATTGCAAGCCACACAAAAGAGAGGTGAACGGAATACAGAACATCTTGCAGGAAACCTATGGAGAAGCTGGACTTCTATTTTGTGTGTGCAACAGGACTGTGCATTTCTCTTTGCCAGTGCCTAAGGGGGTGAAAGAAGCACCTGGATTTTAATTTTTCTATGTTGGATTTTGATTGCCTCGTGTTTGGACACTAATCACTGTGCAACACAAGTGTAGCACTGGGGTTTGTTCAGAGCAAGCAGCTTCCCGTGAAGGCTAGGACAGGTTTTGAGGCTGTATACTGCATCCAGGTCTGATAATGCCAGAAACTTTCACAAGATTTCTACTTCTGAATCTTGCAATAATGCAGAAGTTCCGTCTTCTGCCCTAAAACTACCTGAATATTCCCTATGAACAGTTAGGAGGCAGTTAGCTGGGAAATTCTTTCCAATCTGGGAGAAAACCAGGAAAACCTGCCATGGGGTAGAAAGTTGGTTCAGGGTTTCCATGTTTTTTAGCATTTGGAGAGATAGCTCTGCAAAGCAGGCTTGGAGAGATTCCTCAAAGACCCTTTCTCCCACCCTGCTGAGGACCAAACCAGCTCATCACACAGTCAGACCTGTCTCTGGTTACTAAGAAAAAGAACAAAAGCTGGACACTGTCCCTTACCATCATCCAGCTCCCTCCACTGTCAGGCTTCCTATAGCTTTATCCCTCCCCAGAGTACATAAACCATCCTCTTGACAAGCAGAAAACGTTAGTGCTTCAAGTACAGGTGAAACACAGAATAAAGGCTGCTCCCTCAATGAGGCAGCTGGAACCCGGTAAGAGAGTGTGCTTGAAAAACAAGGGGGAGGAGAGGCAGGGAGAGAGGGAGGGGGGAAGAGGTTTTGTTATTCAGCCCGCAGTTCAAGTTAATTTTTATTGAATGTGGCGTTTGCCGCTCAGATGGTGGGTCAGTTCTGCCAGGCAGCTGATGGGCAGAGGAACAAGCAACTGGAGTGGCTCAACCTGTAACAATGAACGGTGACGGACACGCGGGGAAAGGGGAAATCTGTAGGAGGAGAGGACGGATTAGTCAGATGAACGTTCTCATTTCTTGGGTGGATTGGAGCTCTTCGGCTAACAAGTTATCAAAAGGCAAGGCTGGAAGTTATTTCACTGCTTTGCTCCAACATTCAAAACAGTCTTTTCTTTACTTCTAACATAAGTTCTTACCCCTCTTTTAGAGGGCACTTAGTTTCTGCCTAAGAACCTCGTAGTCTTGAGCAAGCCCATAAAGAAGGATTTCCTTTTTGCCCAGAATAAACACACTTCTGGAGGGCCTTTCTCCACGGGTATCAGAGCACTTACAGTTGTTAATGAATCAGTTTGTCCAAGCAGTGTTATTTCCCCTTTTTTCTGAGCAGATGAGGAAATTGTAGCACGAAGATCACAATGGAAGGACAGCCCAATACATTTCATTCCCCAGTACAGGCAGTACACATGCAGTGAGACTGTTACGTAGACTTTTGGTCGTACCCCGCAGGATGGATGCATCAGACCTACACAGCACCATGCACAAGCCTCGCTCATGCCGGCAGGATCCCACTCTGCATGACCCTCTTGAAGATTTTAGGGATAGCTTAAGAAGACTAGCCTTGGTAGCCAAAGGTAGCCCTCGTGACTACCAAAAAAACCCCAACATGCTGGTGCTTTCAAGATGCGTCCTTTTGCCTGTGTTATCCAGGGATGGTGTTTTTCAGGAAACATCTTATTTTCCCTAAATTCTGAGATTGGAAACATTAGTCCAAAAATCCGTGTAGTTCTCATGAAGTCCAGAAATTATGCTAAGGTACAAGCGGGGCAAGATCAGATTCAGTCTACAAATGATCACCATCAAAGCCCAACTGACGCAAAGACCTTTATCGCCTAGCAAAATCAGCATCTACTGTATACTTACGAGGAAAAAAAACATGCTGCTGTTTGAAGTCTTCAACACCACTATAGAAGTCTGAAAGTGCAAGGCTGCTTTCTGTTTCAAACTCTGCACTTCGCTAGGTTCTCAGAAACCAGGAAAATAGGCTGTTACAGAAGCTCTACACTAACCCTAAAGCAGAAAAACCTTTGATTGTTTAACTGTCCTGTATCAACATTGTACAAATGTTAGAGGTGTTTCTGACGTTGAAATTAAAATCACGTTTAAAATGGAGATGAACTCTAAAACCTAATACTAAAAAATAAAATAGCTTTTCTTTACTGTACATATTTAAAACTGAAAAAAATTTAAATTTCTACACCTAAGGATTTTGTCCAACAAGGTGAAATTTTTTCCTAGGCCTTGGACTCATCAACATGTTCTTAAAAGAGACAATCTGAGCTGTGATAATAAAATATTTTCACATCTCTGAATTTCTCATTGAACAGGGAAATGAACCATCTCCCAAAGCTCCAGCTACAAATGATGGGGGGCAGGTCTCCTACCTCTTTGGCTAAAAGCTGTAGAGGCTACCTCATACCCAATGTTCCCTCGATGTTTAACATCACTGCTCAGATCCACTCCTGAACTCTCTTTTTCACCAGTGGTCACATCTATTCACACAGAGGAGGTGGGTATATGCCTTTCATTTTGTCACACCTCATAGCCTACCATAAAGGACCTCAGTTTCCTCTTTTTCCCTTCTCCATCTCCAGTTTCATACGGTTGCCTCTGCCCTGGTGGAGCACGAACCTGGTGACAGATGCAATACGAGGTGCCCTCCAGTGAAGCCTTTCACGAGCTTGGCTCTGGAGCACTGCTAGAGGCACCGACTCTTCCTGCATGACCAACTCCACCTCCAGGAGCCCCTTGAACCGTGGCACATTTGCGGGATGCTGAACTACGTGATGAAATATGTGATTCACAACAGTGTTTGCAGCATGAACTCTGTCCTGGCCGTCTCGTGTCCCAGTCTGTGCAGCGTTCATGGGGACCGGTAGAGATGCACGCTGCAGAACTGCAAGACCAAGTTCCTCTAGCCAGTAAAAACGCGTGACAAAGGAACTCTGGGGGAGCAGGATACGATCCTACACAAAGAGTGGAGTTTGTGATATGCAGGACAAAAGCATGCATGGACGATACGTGCTTTGCTTTTATTTTAAGATTCAGTAGGTGTGGAAAGGGTCTTTCCTTACCTTGATCCATTCATGTGGTCATATTCCCTTTTTACATTGACCCGGACGGGCTGATTAATCCACTCCTGCTGAGGAGGCAAAGGGTTGATTTTGTGCGGCTGGCCATAGTCTGGGTTCCCTGAGGCCGTCATATCTGCCTTGGGGAGGTGAGTGGCAGCGCCGTACGTAGAGTCAAAGAGGGACTGGTCGTCGCTCACCACCGACAGAGCCTCCTGAGGAGAAAAAAAACAAGCGCTCAGAGTCATGACTAAACCAGTAACTCCACTCCTATTCTCTCTTTGAGCTGGTGAGCACCTGCATGGGCCCCACAGCTGCCCAGCGCTGTCTGAAATTGCCATCTGCCAGGATTGCAGATTGAATCAGAGTCTTTGGGGTCCATTAACCCGTATGCAAAACCAGCGGGTGGCTCTGCTGGCTGCTGGGTTGCTCTGGGTGGGGCAAGACTTGACTTCTGCAAACAGTAAAGGTGGGTGCTGGGTGCTGCACCCTTCTCATTGCTTGCGGTAAGCAGCTTCGTCTGCAATTTCGTATGGTTACCCGCTCACCTGCCTGCACTTGCTGGTCCAAAAACAACCAGAGAGATATGGAGTATGTAACATTTCTGGAGTGCCATTTGAAGGCCTATACATCTTCTTTCAAAGGGTTTTGTGTGATGTTTATATTTTGAGGTTACTAGTGAAGGAGAAGCAGTCAGTACAGGTCAGAGTTATGGGTGTTAGTGGTGGGATAAAAAATGCATTACTTTACACTTTTTGTTTATTTTGTGGGAAACGTAGGACTGGTGAGTTACCAAACTCTGCATTTCTAGAAATGCTTAAAAACAGGAAATTGTTATCCTTTTTTTTTTTTTCCTTCCCCTGCTGAAACTCCAAATGTTGACAAAAAGTTTTGACTATCAATTTCCTTGCGCTGATGCGCTTGGGTTTTCTAAATGAAACATGCTAGGCACATCAAGGCTTTGGCACAGTCCTGCCTTATTCAAAGTGCATCTGACAAGGTCTGCATGTTCTTTATGGAGCTAAGTTAACCGCACATAACACAGCTGCCATTATGGCTGGCAAGCCAGAAACTGAACGAGGAACCTCCCAAACTAAAAGCACACGCTACGTTAATGCGAGTTAATGGAGCAGGCCTCCGAAACAAAGGCAGCAACAGACTCACCTACTCGGTGGACCGAGGGGTCAACGGACCCGTGTGCGCAGCAGTGGGTTACACGTGGACATACAGACACCGTCTTTGCTTTCAAAGCTGGTGTGTTGCTAAACCCTCAGTGCTCAAAATTCACAGGACACGGTCCAAATCATGAGCTTTTAAAAATAATAAATCATTGCTCTCTCTACGCCTCCCCCCAGTAGTCGTTTCTGAGGTTAGTTTTGCAAATTCTTCCATAACCAGGGAGGGAAACAGAAATCCTGAAAACTTGGAAAAGTGCAGCTACTGGAATCCTCCGATTACACAAGAATCTAAGGACAAACCAGATATCACCAGGCCCGTGATATCACCACAAAAAATGTCAATAAGTAGAGTCTACTGGGTGCGCATGAGAATCCCCCTCAGCTTGAAATTAACCCACTTAGAAAGGGGCAGGTCAGTGCTCTGCATTTACAAATATCAGCACTTTTCTATCTCTGATCTCGGATCACGTAACAAAACCAAATAAGCACGAGTAGCCTAGCACTTAAGCAGGCCTGACTAAGCTTGAATTCAGAGGAACCCTCAAACATCTGCTGCTGAAGTTACAGTATTTGCTGTAAATATTTCGTGAGCAACCTCTCACCCTCACCAACAGACGGCCACAACCTTTAAACAAGAAATAAGGAGAGTTTTTACCCCACAGTGCCTAACGCTGCGTGTTGCAAGGAGCTCTGACTGTGTTCGCTCCTTCCAGCAGCATTTTCTTGGTGGATGCAAACCCTTTTAAAAATACCCCCTCCCTTTTTCTGCTCTAATTAGAGCAAGGGTGTGGAGAGTGCCCCTCGGAAGAGTGTGGTGCAATCCTGTATGATCCCAGATTTGTGTCAGAGGGACGGTGTCCAGGCTATAAACTTTGCCTGTGTAGGAAGGGGAGAACATGAGATCTTCTGGTGACAGCTCTTAAAAGAGAGCAAGCCTTTCCATCAGAGCTAAGGATATAGTGACTTGCTGCTTCTCTGATTTACTGAAGTCAGGATGTCATGCAGAGACTCCTAAACAACACATCTTCTGTCAGTCTCTGCTTCCTCTCAGTACAAAAAATGGGGGGGTTCCTACATTATGGCATGAACCTCAAATGCCTGCACTGACTTATGACTCTCTAGAACCAGTCTCAGCTACACATCTTACTGGTCAGAGGCAAGGAAACCACGAGCACCGCTGAGAATTCATGAATTAAAACTTGAAAATGTTTGGGTTTGGAGATTTCCAGTCTAAAAACAGACACAATTTTAGGAGTTTTTAGGGAAACAATATCTGAGAAAATGCCATTTTTCTTCCAAAGAAAGGGTCTGATGGAGAAAAATTGGAAAGCAATTAGAAATCCCAGATCTTACTGGTTACCTCCTCTCCCCAGAAAAAATCAACCCACCCCAAAGAACACCCCTGGACTAGGATCAATGATTATGGTGCCCCCAAGTACAGCTATCTTTGCACACCCAGGCAAGCACACTCTTTTCTCTGATAGACAATATCTGATGGAGGAGCCTGCCTCCTCAGATAAGGATCTTCCTTGAAAGACGAAGTGGCTGCTAGGCCTGGCCTACAGCAGCAAGTGGCGTTAAGGGGGATAATGATAACCCCACGGGCAGGCAGCCGTTGCACCGAGCAGCTCTGCGTTTTGCTGCTCGAATGCATAAAGACTGCAAACTCTTCGTCTTTAAAACTCTGTCGCACACAGGAAAGGAAATTCAAATGCGATGGCTGCCATCATGGCAGGCCCAAGCAGTTACTGAACCAGGAATCGTTTGAGCTAAACCCCTGAGTTAGTTAGAGCCACAAGAGCTACAGGCTCTGGGGGAACTGAAGACACGCAGAGGAGATCAGGCAGAGATAGCGGCTTGTAACACCTGCTGACGATCCGGGTCGTGCATGCAAATAGCAAACAAGTATTGCTGATGGCATGCAAGGGAAGTTGGGTGGCACGCCGCCAACCCTCGCTGCAATCAGCTTCTCCGTGGAGTGTACATCTACAGTTTAGGAGAAACCAGAGGGGTGGCAAGCTACGTGTAGCCTTTAGCTGGCATGGTCAGAGTACGGGGACCACTCCGATACTGTCCTAGCAACGAGGACCACCTGGGTCTCTGTTTAAGGAAGAGGACAGGGTTTGGCTGGCCCTGCCAGAGTTTCAGGCTACGAACACTTACAACCCTCCTTGTACTCACTATCAGAGGCTCTGCATGGCTAGTTCAGTTTTGAAGGACTAGTCGGTTTAGGAAGTGTTCGGCTTCAGTTCTGGCTGAAGAGGAGCTCAACCACTAAATTGAATACCAGAGGGCAGATTTCTATCCCCTGGAATCGAGAGCTACTTAGTATTTGGTGACGGGCAACTGGGAAAACACATCGAGGCGTTAAAGGCGCTAACATAACCCAAGCAGACAGGCCACAGCTCACCAGGGTTCCCCCCATACCATTGCCTCCCGGGCTGTGTCCTTGAGCTGGCCAGACTGAGCCTGAGACAGAGGTCTTGTGTGTATTATTCTGGCATATATGTTACATTATATTGCCTCTGGGAATAGGCTAGCTTCAGTTTTTCCAGCTTTTAATCACATTCCTGGCATAAATGTGGCAAGTCCCGTCTACGGCAGCTTGCAGCGCGGCAATAGGCAAGTTCAACGCCCTGTGAAGCACGGCCCAGGCTTTGCAGGGCAGCCCACCACTGAACTGCCACAGATGAAAGGCTCCTATTGCTCTGACTGCTGAAACAGCTTTGCACAGAGCTGGCACACACCCCTGGATCCCTCAGACATGAGTATGCGATACGGCTATTATTAATAACGGTTTGTAGTTGAAAGAGGTTGAATTTGCACTTTTTCCTCTTTTTTAGATGGGCCATCTAGACCCAGGTCCCACATCTAAGTACATCTTAGGTACATTTTGATATTTTCCCTGTGTGCTGCAAGAAAACCAATCTGTTCTTCTCGTCACACAGGTCCACCAACGCTTCAAGCAAGTGATCCCGAAATAGAGACAGCACGCAAGCTTTAGTCAAGGTTTTCATTTAGTTAATGCATTGAACAGAACATTTGAGCTAATATATGAATGGAATGGATCTGAGAAACAACCCTTAGGTAGGAATCAGGGGCAACTGTGCAATGCAGACATTTATCATTCCCCTCCATGTTCTAATTCCCAGACCCTGATGCGATGACTGCACTAATAATAACACTAGCCCCAGGATATCCTAATGTCCTGGCTAACCTCTAGGTTTGCCTTGGACAAGGCCCTTAAATGTTCAGTTTTTTAACCTCATCCAAAGCTCACTGGCAAGGAAAGCTTGCTAGAGGTTCCCATTTCCCAGGGTTCAGCCCTGGGAGAAAGGTCATGAAGGCAAGAGGTGACGGTGTCAGTGCTTTCATCCCAGGTATAACCCAGTGACTACAACGGCTCTTTCCAGGTGCGTGCAACACGTTCTCACCGAATATCGACTCTGAGGTCTTCACATTCACTATTCTGGCCATAACCACATTTAAAAGGCATTGCTAAAGATCAAAGGTTCATCCTCCTCCACAAAGCCTGACTTATAAGAGGAAAAAAGTGCTGAGTACTTCAACTGTCATGCTATGCATGGAAAAAATGCTTCCACCCCTAGAGGGGTGGCTTTGTTTGTTTGTTTGCAAGGGACTCTCTTTGCCACTCTTAGTCCTGCAGGTGAATCACCCCTGAAATATTTTTGTAAAGAGAATGTTACCAACACAGGCTCTGAGGAGCCCAGATATGCGATGCAAAGCACCAAAATACAAGGTACCAGCAGCAACTAGCCCTACACGTGGCTTGAGGTTAGCACCGAGGACCTATTCCTTGAATAGAAATTACTTTGGCACTGCAGTTTTACAAGTCAGCACTTCTGCTGCCAACATCTCATACAAGCAGAAAAGAGATAACATCAGATTTACAAGAAAAGGAGTCAAATAAAAAATTTAAGAAAGGAGCAGAGTCTGTGTTGATCTTGGGGGAGCAAATTCAGATGGACTGAGCACTGGATTTGGAGGCAGGAGGGCAGGATATTATTATCAT